TAAATCGACCAAAGATTTATGCTGATACTTCTTCCAGTATTTACCATCATCCCTACAAATTTCATCTATAATCCCATTCCCAATCCATCTTCGAGTGCAAATTTTTGGGCACTCTAGTGTTCAATCACCTTCCACCTTCAAGTCACGAATGGCGGATCCGCCAATCTAACTCTTCAGGTTTAAGAAGATTGAACAGGGGAAGTTGTTGTACCCCAAAATTTTCCCTCTCATTTCTCCAGTAATCTCTATCAAGATCTCCACTGGTTTAAGACTGCACAAAGTTTGATCAGCTCAAGACACCTCCTAAAGCATTGATGACTCAAATTAGGGTTTGAGTTTGCACAAGGACAAGTGGACTTTTAATGCCTAATATTACTTTCATGGATCATTTTGGACCCTCAATATTTCTCATGTCAAGTTTCAAGCCTTGGATCACATTTTTGCTCAGTCAAATGATCAATTGACCTAAAATCAGTTGTATTAGGGAAAAAGTCAACTATGGTCAATTTACAATCAAACTTCATAATTTTTGGTCCATATCAATATTATGAACTCATATATGTCATTTGATCAAGTTTGGATCACAATTTCTCAAGAAATTTGATCAGATCATCAAAAGGGCAAAATGGTCAAAATTAGGGTTTTGACTAAGAAGGTGCAATTTCTGATTTTTGACCTGGAAAATGACTTATTGGTTTAATACATGACCTCAAGGACTAAAATGCTTCATTTTTACCTGATGTCATGGGTCAAAGCATTTCTCAAGATCAATTGATAGTTGAATTTCAATCAACTGATGAAAAGTCAATTGTACACTGAAAAGTCAAACTTTGACTTTTTGATCAAAATCATGTTTCAAATATTACAATTCATTAAGACATGTCAAAATATGAAACTTGTTCATCAAGAAATTAAAAAGTCAAGATTTCATTTTGAAAAGTCAAAATTTCCAAGACTTAGAATTTTTCTAAGTGTTGGAAATTCACATTTTTTTCACAACCTTGAGCCAAATTTTCACCATGATGCAAGATGATTCAAAAGAAACTTCTAACATGAAATTTCTAGATCTCAATGAGATCTAAAACATTTTATAACATAACTTTTTATATAAATTCTTGGATTCCAAGTTATGATTTTGTAAAGACATGCTCATGAAACTTGAAAACTTAGTGAAATTTTTCCCTAGTTTAGGCAGGATTTTGACCTAACTTCATGGAAATTTTTCACATAGTTCCAAGATGAATTTTAAAAAATGTCCAACATAGAGGTTGTAAAGGATGTGACAAGATTTCCAAAATGTCCAAGAACTCATTGAGATCATACATGAGCAAGGAGAATTGAAGGCAAGAAGTTAGGGTTTCAAACTTGAATTACAAGCCATTTCTTGATGAACACATAATCTAATATCAATGTTAGGCTGCATAATCTTGCTTTTAAGGCCTTCTAACTTGTGTATTTATCCATCATTAATGGATTACACAAACTTTTGAGCTATAATCCAAGTGGTTTAAGCATTGTCCAATTTAAATTTCCATTTTGGGAAAAAGTTAACAATGCCATTCTTGAAAAGCAAGCTTTATACACAAAGTCAATTCTTGAGCCTCTCACTCGTTCCCTATGGTCATACTCCATCTACAAAGTCAGAAGCAAGTTTGTTTAAAGCATAACCACTCTACAATATCAAGTACAAAGGGCATTTAAACTTGATTTCTCAAGAAAATCAAATGTTGAGCTTAAACATATGATTTTGAATTCTGATCAGATACAAGTCTCCAAACTTGTTGCTTATAAATAGACGCCTTATTTGCAAGTTAACATACGAGCTTAAGCACCCTGAAACTCTCTCAAACACTTGCAAGCTAGAAATTGTCCAAAAAACTCCATTGATGCACAGATTCTGACTTTGAACTTGCAATTCACAATTCCCTCGTGCGTTTTCCTTCCTAATCAATCACAAATCTCCTACACATCAAGCATAGTCCATCCATGACCCTGTTTCATAACTGTAACTCCATTTCCATCATCCTCCATAACCAAAAACAGAGCACTGCAGGTTGACTTCTCCAGGCCGTTTCATCCATCCATTTCTCAAGCTAATTATTACATTAGCTTCCTAGGAACTTGGGGAAGCTAACCTGATCATTGCAGCACCTTGAATCAAGCTTAATTGCATTTCACGATTTCCAGTTTTGAGGTATCATTTTTGAACTTCTATCTTTTCATTTAGGAATTGTTAGGCTTGCATTTTTGAAGATAAAATGTAGACATTGTTGCCATAAAACTATACATGTCTATAGATTTCATTTATATTGATTGAGCTTAGAGAATTTTAGGTTTGAATCTCTGAAAAAAGTTAGGTCAGAATTTGTTACTTTTAGAAATTCTCATTCATCTTTGATTTATAGCTTATGATATTTATATGGTTGGATTCGTATGGAAAAATGGAGCAACTTTCATGTTTGCATCTTTCATTTTTGTTGAGAAATGAGCAAGTTACAGGAACCATGGATGGAGGTTGAAGATGAAGTCATTTTCAGGACTTGACTTGTGTTATGTATTTATTGTTTTGTTTATGTTACCGGATGTACAGTCACCCCAATGGCAAAGGTAGCACGCGTGTATGGTAAGGGTCATGGGTTCAAGTCCCAGCGCTACCTTTTGTTCAAATTTTAAACATTTTTCTTTCTTTTTTGTTTCAAACAGCAGCGCCTGGGCCTTCAATCAATGGGCCTTCTATTTTTGCAAACTTCTCACCTCTGCCTTCACTTTCACACACCTGGCCCAACTTTTTATTATTTCATTTTTATTTATTTTCTTTTTCTTATTTTATTTTATTTCAATTTTATTTTATTACTTTTTATTAATACTATTATTATTATTATTTTATTAATAAAAAAATCCAAAATATTTTTATTTATTATTTTCAAATTTTATGTTTATTTTCTTTATAAAACAAAAAGAACAAAAACATTTTCTTAACAAATTTAATTTCTTTTTCTTAAAAAATTAATAATTAGATTTAGCTTTAATTATTTTTTCTTTTTATTTAAAATTAATTTAGAACTTAAGTTTTTTTTAATTGATTAATTTTCATGTTATTTTTATTAATTTAAAAACCTTTTTCATAAAAAAACCCTAAAAGATGCTTCAAACTTATTTTCTTTTCTTAATTAATTTAACTTTAATTTTATTTATCTTTAATTAATTATTTTTCCTTTTTTCTTAATTAGGTTAAAACCCTTTCATAAAAACCAAACAAAAATCATTTATTTTCCATTTATCTTCTTGTACATTATATTTTCAATTCTTGTACATTATTCAATATGGTTGTAATAGATAATTAGGTTTAATTTTCTTGCAATCCCCATTTGTAAATTTGTATACCCCTCCCCTAATGATGTGATAACGTAGTAATTTTAATTTCCGCAATTTATCGCTTTTATATAAATGTTAGTAATTAGGGTTTGTATGGCAAGACTAAAATAAACAATTAGAAAACCCTAATTCAAGATAAACAATGCATGTAAATCAAACACATTTGCACACTTGCACCCTTAGGATAATTCCACTTGTTGCCTTATAAAAATGGTCATCTTATGCATGTGGGATGTCTTAGCAAAAAAAAATCGAAATACAAGATGATAGTCCCTCGATGACGCTACAAATGTTGCCTTTCAAATGATCTTAGTCTCTCAAAGAGAAATGCTAAGATATCTCACAACATTGCTATCATGACTATACAATGATCCACGTCCGTCCCTTTACATCTAAATATAAGGCTTCTTACTAAATCAATGGTAAGATAGCAATAACAAAGGAAAGGAAGAAATGAACAAAGACTTTTGAGTAGGTAGATTGTTCCTAATTGCTTGCTTATATTGAAAAAAAACATCCTTGCTTATTTTAAACACAAACACTAAACACTTTCAAATACTTTCAAAATATTTTCCAAACATGAAATATTTTCAAAAGCTCAACACTTTGTATACATTCTTACGAACGAGAACTATTACAAAGTTTGTCTAAACGAAGGCACCTTTTCAGAATACTTTCAAAAACCACCAGAAAGCACATTTTCAAACAAAAGCAAGTGATCTAGCAAGAAACTAAGAGCCCATAGATAACTATGGATGAAAAGGGTGCTAACACCTTCCCTTTTCATAATCTACCCACTACAAGAAAAAAAGAGATTTACGACACATAAATTGCGACAGTTCCCACAAAACCGTCCTTATTCCTGAATTGCGACAGTTGTCACGACGGTTAGGCTCAACCGTCGTAGATTTTCAAGCATTATGAGTAACATAATTGCGACAGTTACCAAAAAACCGCCCTCTTTTCACATCCGCGACAATTAGGTGAACTGTCGTAACTACATTAGCCAATCATAATCGCTACTTTTTTTTATTCTTTTACTTTCCCACTTTTTTTCTTTCATTTCCCCTTCTTTTTCTCTTTTATTAATAATAATAATAATAATAATAATAATAATAATAATAATAATAAAATAAATTACCAAAGACCATCTAATTAATTACTTGAAAAAAATTATTTAAAAATCATCAAAGACCACGACGGTGAAAATACCGTCGCCTACAATTACAAAACATCCACGACAGAGTCCTACCGTCGTCATCCAATAACTTATATTTCGCGCAGTGCCCTTGCGTTTTGTCTTCACTGCCAAACAGAATTCATGCACACAAATGAGTTAGGGTTTTGATTCATCATCAAATAATTTCACTCAGCCACACAAATGGGTTTAGGGTTTTGTATCATCGCCAAATAATTTCTCTCAGCCACACGCGCCGTCAAAGTAACCACCATCAATTTGAATCTTAACAGGTTTGTCTTCTCAAACCCTAAATCCCTTTTCAAGTCCTAAATTTCTTCTGTAAAGTTGTTGTCAAACACAGAAGAGGTGCGTTGTTACTTCTTTTCTTTCTCTTTTGTAGTCTTACGAGTTCAAATTGTGAATAATAGAGTTGTAGTGTGTTCATATGACATTGGATTCTATGGGGGAAGGGTATGGAGTTAAATAAGCATAAAGTAGTAGTGAGCAAGTACTTGTTTATCTGTGCCAGTGTATGTTTAGATTGACGATGCTTTTGACATTAGGACTTGGTTTGTGTTTGGCTTTCATTGTTCTCACGATACCAATGTCAGTTTAGTTCAAAGCTACAAACTTAAGCTTCACTCACCATCGCATCTGAAAGACATTCCGCCGGGTCTCCAAACACAGGGTTAAGTGAGTGTTTGGTTAAATGTTTGAATGCTTAAACTCACATCAAACACTATTCAACTGCAACTTTTAAGAAGCTTCAAGTCTTGCCGTACAGTGTGTTTGGTTCTGCGGTGAAGAAAATTGATTTCAACTAAAAGTGAGTTGAGAATGAAGCGATTAAATTCTTACTTGAGAGCGACCAAGTAGAAGAATCAAAAGCATCATATCCTAGCTTCAAGTAGAAGAACCAATTCTTAAAAGCATAAACAATTTTACTCGAGAGCAAGCAAAATGTCAATTAATTCTACATATCCAAAATCAATTATGGGAGCTCCAAACATGAAACCTAACATACATTACCTTATGAATCATCGTGGTCTTTCACTGTAATTACTTAGAGCATGTTTGGAAGTAGTATGTAATTTAGGTTTTTATTAGTTATGACAAGTGTCAGGTGAAGTTTAAGAAATATGAATTGGAAGTTTTTTGAAAAGTTGAAAGCTCTTTAGTATTGTTATTGTGATATTGCCCATATTCGGACAAGAAAAGGTTAAAAAACCCAGGGCAGTGAATGCTATTAAAATTTCATGAACTGCCTTTGGTGTAACCTTTTTTTACTTCATAGAAGGCACAATATTTGTCCTGAAAATTGAGCATGTTAGTTATTACTTGCTAATGCTACCTTTGTGTATACTTTGTGTATACAATATAAAAACTTATGGAACCATATCTTTGTATATTAATTTTCATATTTACAAAGTCCCATCAACAGATTTATCCAGTGCATTTATTGTATTAGTATAAATACATTTTGTTCTCAGGTCACATCCATTACTATATCAATGACGATAATAACAAAGACGCTATCGCTGCCGGTTACGCCTCTGCTGACGATGCTATTCCAATTAACTCCGGCATGAACTGCAAACGTGAGCATAAACAAGGTTTGATCATTTATATCTGATTGGTTAACTTTTTTCTGTTAGAAATTTAATCCAATAATAGTCGATGTTGATTAAATTGGTTGAAATTAAAACACGATTAATGTTATTGATTTGTGTGTGAATTTTTGAATGGATGGAGGAAGAGCATAAGTTGTTCTTGGTTGGATTGCAGAAAGTAGGGAAAGGGGGTTGGAGAGGAATATAAAGCCTAATGATATGGCTTATGTTGCAGTTGCTACTGCAACTTCTTTAGTAGCCTCTCACTGCCTTGAAATTGTAGAATATATGGGAGCTGAACATGAACAGATTGCAACTGCAGTCGACTTGGCTATTAATGCGAAAACGAATGGAGATATTATGACTCTTACAGCTGGAGCAGCAACATGTATTATATTTTTAAGTCAATCTATGAATCTTGAAGTCTAACGCAAAACAAGAGATATGTATTGAAATACAAAATAGCCTTGCGTGGAGCTGCAACTCTAAACGCGCGTCTAAAGAGGGGGATTGGAGCTATTACGATTCCCCCGATTGAGGATAAGTGTGGCGAAGCCAAAAAAGCAAGCATCTTGACAGCACTGGACTTTGTCTTTCAAGGAGGTGTACTTCTCAAACGTACAAAGAAAATGTACACAAAGGTAGAATTGGTCACATGCTCATTTCCATAACCTGCTGTATCAATTCATATATTTCTTCTTTAGCAGAAAAGTTTGTAAGCTCAATCATACTTGTCTCCATACTTATAACAACAAAATGTACGTCAATTTGTTGTAGTTTATGACGGATTAAATGAATGTTTCTTGTATGGAAACTGCTGGAAACTGCATGCTGGATGCTTGGAACCTTTGGACAACACTCTAGATTTACCTCTTGTCTTCAATGAAAAAGCCCTCATTTTTGTTTTTTTTCTGGCTAGCAACATTCATTAAAACAAGGTAATGAACAATTGATACGTATCATTGTGTTTGTGCATGAAAACTCATCTGTTTCTGGTTTACTATTTGCCTAATTGTTATTAACTATGCTCAGTTGTTAGCTGTATTTCCTTCCTTATGGTATTTTGTTCATTGCTAGCACATGCTTTGATGCAGATGCACAGATTCATGGAAATCTCAGATCTTAATAAGTCAAATATGCAAATCTTGCTGGCGATATTGGCTACTACGGGTGTGATTTTCCCACATTTTTGTTTTCTCTTTCATTATTTCCTTCATGTGTATTTTCATTTGTAGACGAGTGAGGAAAAGCTTCTCTAGTCTACCTGTCGAACAATTTAGTGCATATATGTATTTTTAGAGATTCAATTACAACTGCTACTGCAATGTCATAGGTGGGTTGTATTGGGATCAAAGGGTTTTTTGAACTGTAACTATGGCATTGAACCATTTTGATCAAGCCAATAACAAGTGATTTTCCCGAAGAAGTGGAAATACAATAACGAAACGATTCTTTGTTGTAATACAACATCCCTAGCTTGGCAATTATTTCTTTTCTGTTGCAGGTAAGGATTTAAAAGACTCACGAGTGCTAACTGATGTCGGTGACGTCCCTATTCAAGAAATTCGAGATTGTGGCTTAGATGATAAAAGATTGATGAGTGTCATTGGCGAATCTGTCAAGTTAGTGATGGAAGAGGTAAATTTGTCAATTTATGATTTTGAATTAAAAAAGTACACCTTTATCATCCTCATATATTGTTTCTTAGCATTCACTCCACTATCATGTGAAATGCTATAACATTTTGCAGATAACTTTCTGTTCGAACTTGCTTGATCCTCGTGTTGTTTATATTCTTTTAGGCTCCTCTAAGACCCTTAGTTTTAGGTGGTGATCACTCAATATCATTTCCAGTTATTAGAGCTGTCTCGGAGAAGCTTGGAGGACCAGTTGATGTTCTTCATATTGATGCGCATCCTGACAACTATGATGCATTTGAAGGGAACATTTATTCGCATGCTTCTTCCTTTGCTCGTGTCATGGAGGGTGACTATGTTCGGCGACTCTTGCAGGTAATCTTTTATTGTTGATAAGTATAAAATCAAGGTGGCGCCGTGATTTTGTTGAAACTACAAACTGTAACCTTTTGCCAAAACAATGCTTTTTAATACATTTCAGGTTGGTATTCGATCAATAACAGCTGAAGGACGTGCACAAGCAAAAGTAAAATATCATAAAGAAACCTCAATTGACTCCACTATTTCATATCTTGGATTCAAAATCAAAGATAAGGTGGGGGTTCTTTTAGGTTTTGATTTTATTTAGGATGAACTAGGTTACTTGCTTATGTTTTGTTTGATGAGATACTTTGTATATCACTTGATTAAATATTATATGATAGTTCCCTTTCGTTCGAGTACTGAATTGATGATTGGAATTATCTTTGAGTGATCCATGTTAGTGAGAAGGAGTGTTGGTTTGGCTGTGTGTAGGAAATTCAAGGAAGAAAAAAAGGCCCTAGGCTAGTATGAGCCATAACCCTCTTTACGGACAGGAGATAAGCACCTCAGATTTTTGTACCAGGGAGGATGGCCTGGTGTACTACGGCAGTGCCTACTTTGGGTGTTTTCTTTCCCAAATAACACCCTAATCCTTTTGGTTTTTGTATGTTATGCTTAATAGGTTATATATAAAATTATTAGATTGTAGAGTAAGTGTTTTCATTTACATTGATGTGAAAAATTTAGTTACAAGCTAACACATGTTTGCCTTATATAAAGCAAACTAGGAAAAAATGTTATAGCAGACGAAGGTCTGTCAAAACTGCCTGGTGTCAGTTTTGGTAGTTATAACAAAAATAAAAATTATCCTAACTTATCATTAGCAGGTATGTCTCTCTCTGCCTCCGTGTTTGTATGCTCGTGTATATATGCACGTACGCACGCGTGCGCATAGTAAATTCCAAACATGTATTGATACTAACTTGTGCATTTGTATGTTCTTTTTAAACCTTGGTGATTTCCTTGTGCAGAAACTAGGGGAAGGTGTGAAAGGGGTGTATATCTCGATAGACGTGGATTGTCTTGATCCTGCATTTGCTCCGGGAGTGTCTCATATTGATCCGGGAGGTCTTTCTTTCCGCGATGTTCTTAACATCCTACACAATCTTCAAGGTGATGTTGTTGCTGGAGACGTCGTTGAACTCAACCCACAACGCGATACTGTTGATGGAATGACTGCTATGGTAGCTGCTAAGTTGGTCAGAGAAATGGCTGCAAAGATTGCAAAATGATCAAGAGATTTCGGAGCTAACCTCTTTTTGTTATAGTTCCTGAAAATCGGAAAATCTCACTTGTTATAGGTAACTTGTAGCAAAGTTATAAGGTGGTATAAGCATATTACAATGTGCAATAATTCATAAATCTTTTCTCCCAATAATAAGTACTGGTATCTCACGGAAATCTCACGCTTCAATAGCAAAAGCAATGTCTCCTTGCATTATTTTACAAATGGTTTCCCAACTGAATTAATAATACTGAGTTAGTAAATATTTCAAAACAATTGGATTGCTCATTTCAAAACAATGTTGAAAAGTGATAGAAAATAAAATAAAAATACTATAAATAAAAAAATATTAAAGTAAATAATAATTTAAATATAATAGTAAAATATTATAGTAAAATAATATTATATTTAAAATTATTTTACTAAATAATAATTTAAATAAAAATATTATTTGAAATTTATAAATCAGATTACGACGGTTAAAGTCAAATTCACGACGGTATATAACCGTCGCAAACAACAACAACAAAAAATAAAGTCAAATTCACGACGGTATATAACCGTCGCAAACAACAACAAAAACAAAAAATAAAGTCAAATTCACGACGGTATATAAGCGTCGCAAACAACAACAAAAACAAAAAATAAAGTCAAATTCACGACGGTATATAACCGTCGCAAACAACAACAAAAACAAAAAATAAAGTCAAATTCACGACGGTATATAACCGTCGCTATCTGTTGTGCGTGATAGTTTTTGCAACCGTCGCGAAATAGGCTGGGGACGCACGATTCTGCGACGGTACTTCTACCGTCGTAGATTGTAAATTGCGACGGTTTTAACCGTCGTAATCAGCCAAAATAACCGTCCCAATCTATCATTTTTCTTGTAGTGACCCCCCAAACTCAAGAAATAATCTCAAAGGTCTTTCATGTTCTTTTCCACCTTTCCTTTTGGATAAATGAAAAGTCAGTGGCAACTCTTGCTAACTGCAACAATTGCGATAAAACGCAAAACATCCCAAGTCAGTTCTTCCACCGTATCACAGGTTGTAAAAATAACTTTCTGGGGAAAGCAATATGGCTTTCTAAGGAAAGAAATATGACTTCCTGGGGAAAGAATCATGACTTCTTGGGGAATAAATCATGACTTCCTAGGGAGATACCAATATATTCCTACTGAGGAGATAAAGTCTTCTCGTGCCAAAATAAATTCACATTCTCAAACTATGGCTCAAAGCTTGCAGAAATCCAAAGTAATGATGTTGCTGAGGATCAAAGATTCAAACCAGAAATAAATTGGAGTGAAACAGTCAACCAAAATACATCCTTTGAGAAATAAACTCAAGAGGGAAACCCAAATCATCCAGACAAAGAACTGTACAGGAAGGCTAAACAAAAATCTTCCACGAGGGGTAACTCAGTGGGGAAATTGAAAGAATATACACTTTCTGCTTAAGGTTGATACTCTATTGTAGAGAGAATAACACAACTCTGCAAAATAGGGTAATACGTCAACAAAATATTAATGAATGCGAATGACCAATGATTTTCTAAATTCAACTATGTACGATGTATGTATGAATGTATGAGTGTTATTATGTATATGTTGACAAAACATACATATAACACTGGGGAATAACCAGACAAAAACAGCTCGGGCACAGTCAACACTCGACTAAATCACATCCAAGATGAGCGTTCCATAATAAAATAAGCACTAAACGAGGAAACAAAATCTTATTTCGCGGCTTAACTTCATTGTGAAGGAACATAATTTGGAAGTAAACAAATCATAGCGACAAAACAGTACAGATACAGGGATATAACATCATTCTCCAGGCTTCACCGGGGAATAGCACTCAGGCTTCAACGAGGAAAACAAATGTTTCACGGTTCATACTTCTACTAGGGATTGCAATACTAATCTCAATAAGGCAGATGGAAACCATATCAGAAAAATATCAACTGAGGATTTCGAGTTGAATTCATTGGGGAAATATCATATAGACTTCACTAAGGGAGATAGTGCCTCATCGTCGAGATATCAACTGGAGACCTCGTGCTGACTTCATTAGGGAGGACAACACCACATGATCAAGGGGAAACCAAGATACATTATTCAATGTTGAGCATGAGTTTTTCACCATTGGGGTAACAACTTTGGGAGTTGAGAAGTCAAACATTACTGCAAGAAATCAATCTTATGGGAATTTTAAATCAAACCCAGCACTTGGCGGGTGAAAACCCAAAAAATTGACAATTTCCTTAACACTTAAATAAAATATTTCCCTTGCCTAATTATCAGGCAATCAAACAAAATGCAAGTACTGCTGAAAGGGAGATGCTTCATAAATGAGTCAAATCTCAGCATGCACGGGGAGAAAAGACTTTTATCAAATAGTGAAGCCTTCACTGGGGAATCTTGGATTGAGTCTTCATATCATGCAAACTTATTCCAACAAATAATGCCCTGGGATAGCCTTCCTAGGGAATCAAGAAGTCAACATTATAGAAAGAGGTCAAACTCATAGGGATTTTAAATCAAACCCAGCACTTGGCGGGTGAAAACCAAAAGGTTGACAACTGTCTCAACACTTCTTAGAAAATATACTGCCCAAGTCTAGTTTCCTGGGAAATAAATACCAACAATAATGCCCATACTGCAGAAAGAGAGACATTTTGCAAATAGTTCCATCTCAGCACACCAAGGGAAAAAGACCATTCGTCATATGAGGGAAGACTTCGTTGGGGAATCTAGGATAGAGGCCTCGGACCATGCAAACCCAAAATAAAAAAATGAATCAAGACTTGACTGGGGAAAATGGGATGAGAAACCCAATATTGCACCTTACGCCAATTGTTATCGTCTTCAATATACAGAAATCACACGCATACAAGTGAAAACGACCTGAGAAAACCTTCCCGGGGGAAACAAAACTTCCCAAAATTATTGGAGTTCGTCCATTCCTGGGATCACCACTTTTGTTTTCCTCTTGAATCACAAAATCTAAAGTAAAAGTAATTTGTAAATTCTTTACGAAAAATAATTTTGTTATCAATAATAAATGGAGTCTTTGTAAGCTGAATAAAATAAGAATTACAAAGAATTGGGTAAAAGCTCAAATTTTATTGATAGAATGGTAGTCTGCGAATGGCGAGACTCCACGAATGATTACAAAGTTCAGAAAATGGTAATATATAATGGAAAAGATACATTGAGATACAATGACCATTATTCCCTCTAACAACTTTGAAATTCTGAGCAGCAGCTTCCATCGAAGTATGGTGAGGATCCAAGAAGATTGTTTCTTCAATGATCAAGTCTTTTCTGATGTAGTTACTTTCTAAGAAAGTCCCTAACTTTTTCCTAAGCTGCCCTTGCGGGTTTTCAACTAAGCGGGAAATTTTATTCTGTTTATGTCTCTAATTTTTTCCTAAACCTCCCTTTCGGGTTTTCGGCCTACAGAGACGCTCCTTTTTTCCTAAGCCGCCCTTTGGGGTTTTCAACTTAGTGAGTTGTTCTTTTATTTCTTTAGGCGAAGTATTTCTTGACTGCATCAGCATTCAAAGGACGTGGGAACTCCTCGCCATCCATAGTTTCAAGAATTAATGCACCGCCAGAGAAGGCTTTCTTGACAACATATGGGCCTTTAAAATTGGGAGTACACTTGCCCCTAGAATCAGCGTTAAAATACATGATCTTCCTGAGCACGAGGTCGCCTTCTCTGAATTTACGAGGTTTGACCTTCTTATCAAAAGCTTTCTTCATTCTCTTCTGATATAACTACCCATGACACAATGTCGTCATTCTCTTCTCTTCGATCAAATGCAATTGGTCAAACTTGTTCTGGACCAATTCAGCCTCTGACAACTTGGTTTCCATTATCACACGCAGAGAGGGAATCTCAACCTCGATTGGGAGCACCGCTTCCATTCCATACACAAGGGAGAACTAGGTTACTCCTGTTGAAGTGTGGACAGATGTCCTATATCCATGTGAAGCAAAAGGGAGCATTTCATGCCAATCTTTATAAGTAACAGCCATCTTCTGGATGATCTTCTTGATATTCTTATTAGCAGCTTTAACAGCCCCATTCATCTTTGGCCTGTATGGAGATGAATTGTGATGGACAATATTGAATTCTTCACAAAGTTCTATCATCATCTTGTTGTTCAGATTTGAGCCATTGTCGGTGATGATTCTGCTCGGCCCACCATACCGACATATAAGATTATTCTTAATGAAGCGCACTACCACCTGCTTAGTAACATTAGCATATGAAGCAGCTTCCACCCATTTGGTGAAGTAATCAATTTCTACCAAGATAAAACGATGTCCATTAGAAGCTTTGGGTTCTATCATTCTAATCATGTCTTACATTTATGGCACTTCTTTGCAAATCTGTAACAGTCAGATTCCATTGTCAACCAATAATAACCTTCCCTTAGCATTGTTTTAGCCATCAAATGTCCATTGGCATGAGTGCCAAATGAACCATCATAAATCTCATGCATCAACATGTCTGCTTCGTGTCTATCCATGCATTTGAGCAAGACCATGTCATAATTTCGTTTGTACAACGCATTTTCACTGAGGAAGAAGCTGACAACCAATCTTCTCAATGTCTTTCTATCTTTATTTGATGCACCAATCGGGTACTCCTTAGTCTGAACAAAATGCTTGATATCATAATACTAAGGTTTATCATCTGTTACCTCTTCTATTGTAAACACATGAGCGGTCCTATCCAGTCGTCGGACTATAATTCGAGGTATATCATTCCAAGTATTCACTTGATACATAGAAGCCAGAGTTGCCAGAGCATCCGCCATTTTATTTTCGTCTCTGGGGATATGATGGAGTTCAACTTTATTAAAGAAGGGTAACAATATTATAACATAATCTTTGTAAGGGATCAAGTCGGGGTGACGAGTATCCCACTCTCCTTTAATATGATTTATTACCAAAGCTGAATTTCCATACACATCTAGAATTTTAATTCT